AAAAAAAAAAAAAAGAGTAAAATTGGCATAAAGATGAGATCCTATCATATACCTGAAATAGAAATACTAATTTTTTTCATCCAAACTTTACTCACCCTTCAAAGTCCTACCTGAATCCATGTCATCCATGAAGCCATTCCCACTCTGATCTTTCCTTCTTTTTGTTTATATTACTATAGCTAATCCAACATCCATTTCCTTATCCCATGTCTACCTCCTCTACTAAAGCTGGAAAAGCTACTGTTGACTTTCCTAGCCTCTCTTAGGTAGGGGGTAGTCATGTCACAGCAGCCAACTTGCAACCATAAGAGAAAGGCCAAGGTGGTCGAGTGGCACATTGGTTAAGAGCGGGCTTGGGACGCCAGCTCTGAGCAGCAGGGCCTCGGTTCGGATCCCACATGAGGGCCAGTGACGCTGTGCCCTCTACAGCTAAGATGGTGAACAACAGCTTGACCTGGAGCTGGGCTGCTGTGAGTTGCCGGCGACGGCGAGGCTGCAGTGAGGCTACAGTGGGCTGCTGTAAAGCTACTGTGAGTGGCTGGCAGCCAGCGTGAGCTGCCAAGAGCCACCATGAGTAGCCATCCAGTGGCTGGCAACCCATCTGCCTCACCCGGGAAGAGCGCAATGATAACACCAACATGGGCCAGTGAAGCAATGTCCTCCACAACAAGACTAAAGAACAAAAGGACAGCAACTTGTCTGTTCCCCTCCCCCAATTCCCCAATAAAATCTTAAAAAAAAAGAGAGAGAGAGAGAGAGAGAGAGAGAAAGGCCAAGGGAAAGGCAGAGGTGCCAGCACAGGACCAAGAGTCCTGGCTTCATTAAACTGATGAACCAGCCACATACCTGTGGGCTTCGACAATTGACCTTCATTTGTTTAAGCCCCTGTTAGATTTTTTTCATTACTTGCATCCAAAAGCATTCCTAATTTATGCAGCCATACATGGCATGTCCTACACAGCCTTGCAAATTCTGTTTGAACGATTTACTATGTTTCAGGCACTGTAAAAATTATGTTATAACCGTTGTCTGATATAATCACAACAACCTTATAAGGGAGGTACTATTATCCCATTTTACAGATATGGAAATTGAGGTACAAAGAGATAGGTAACTGCCGTATACTATAGTTCTATACTGCCTTGCGTTACCAGTTAATGGTTCCCCCTTACAATTTTAAAGTCCTTGAGTGCAGGAACCACATACTTACTTAACGGAAAACCAAAGTGTGAAAGGGTCCACAAAAACAGGGCCATTGGTGATTCTGTCCCTGACCTGTGAAGCCTCTCAGCCCTGTGTCCTGCCATGGAATGTTATATAGCACCTGCCAGAGTCATCCTTCGAGGTTCAGGGCTGTATAGCCACACAAAGTTGGCCTCATGGGAAACTCCAGGAATCCACCAGGGAGCTGGTGCCAGCATCAGTTGTTCACTGTCTGCAGCGGACATGCTGAATCATGGGCTCTGAGCAAGGTCCTAAGAGGTTATTAGCATTTAAGAAACTATAAGCAAAAGTAAAAGGCAGGCACTGCATCTCCCATTGCTTGTACTATTCCAGATGGACAATAGTATACACGCATCAAAATGCTAATGAATTATTATTGTTTTAAGTGTGTAGTGGGGCAGAGACAGTGGGGAGTGATGTTTCATATCCTAAAGGGAACATTTAGCAACATCGAACAATCAGGGGACCATACTTTTGGTTTGGTAATAATTTGGCCTCTTCTCATTAATATTCCTAAATAAATACCAATATTAGGCAGTTATAATGCAATATAAAGGACAGTGGACTTGGAGTTAGCCCTAATGGGTTGAGGTCCTAGTTCTGCAACTTAGCTGTGTGACAAGGAGCAAGCAACTACATCCCCTGAGCCTCAGACATAAAACGGCGGGAGTAACACTTGCCTCCTAGGGTTGCTGTGGGGAATCAAACAAGATTATGGACATGAAAGTGCTTTATCAATAACAAAACACTGAACATATGTTAGGGGTTACAATTACTTATAGTCACCTCTGACATCAGTGACTTAACTGTCATTCTTACCCAGCATGTACCAGCATGTATGAGATAAACCTCCAGGCTTCCTCCCTCTTCGTAGGATTATAGATCAATGGGCTCTCCAAGATGCCCGTGTCCAAGGTGATCCACTGTTTCTGAGGCTTCCACACCGCATAGTAAATAAACACTGCCAGCTGACAGGGAGAGACAGAAATGAATGTTAACCACGCCCTCTGCAGAGAGGCCCCATTACAGCCCATGGCACTCCCTTTGCTTCAAATGGTTAGCTCTCAAGTGGACTATTCCATTGCATGTGCTCAGAAGATGACAGGAAGTAAATTTCCCTGCCGTATATCTGACCACATCACCGAGGTCACATCCTGCTTCCTCCAGTGATTAGGAGCTGCCCTTGACCAAATTGTAAAGAAGACTCTTTCTGAAGCCTTTTCCCCTCCTACATGCCCACTGCCCTTATCACCCTTACCTCCACCATTTGGTCTTTCATTTACACCTTAGTATGAAATGAAGTCACTGCTGGCTTCCAAAGTATAGAGTGGGGAAAGAGGAAAATGGTCACTTTACAGTGGAGACACATAGCCAACATGACCTTAACCAAGTGATGAAGGCTCATATCACCAGGGATGTCATATGGAATGTCCCCTACTCCATGATATGATGTGATGTGATGATGTGATGTGAAGGGCACTTCAGCTCTGTGGTGTTCTTCCCCAAAACCCATACTTCCAGTCTAATCATGAGAAAAACATCAGACAAACCCCATTTGGAAGATATTCTACAGGATACCTGGCCAGTACTCCTCAAGACTATCAAAGTCATGAAAAACAAAGACAGACTGAGAAACTGTCACAGATCAGAGGAGACTGGGGAGACATGACAACTAAATGCAGTGTGACACCCTGTGTTGGAGGGCACAGCAGGGACAGAAAGAGGACATTAATGGAAAAACTGGTAAAATCCAAACCAAGTCTGGAGTAATATACCAATGTGAGCTTCTTCTTTTTATTTTAATGTTTTATTTATTTATTTATTTATTTATTTATTTATTTATTTATTTATTTTATTTTGCGGGCAGGCATAGCCCACCAGTCTAACAGGCAACCTTGTTGTTAGGAGCATGTGCTCTCACCAGCTGAACCATCCTGCCCGCTGTTGGCAGCTCAGCGGCAGCTCAGCTCAGGCGCAGCTCACTGGCCCATGTGGGAATCGACCTGGCGACCCTGTTGTTCA